ATAAGTTTTATCTCTGGCCTGCTCTACTCCACTGCAGAAACAGATTGCACTTAACATCATATATTTTTGCAGTTTCATTATCTCTTCAGGCCTTGAAACAAATGTGAAGTTGGCTCTATTGATGGTTACAGGACCTGGACTTGAAGCAGGGGGGGTGTGTTAGATTCTGTCTGCCTGTGTTTGCAGGTCTTCTTTTTTTGTGTTTTTTTTTTTTTCCCCTCAGTGACTGTAACTTTTAAATTGGTGTTTTGAGTTCTGAGGAGGTTGTGAGGACTTAAATTGTTGGCACAGGAGAATTGCAAGGATATAATGTCTATAATAAAGCATCCCATTTATCTACTGATGCGTTTTTTGAATTATAAAGCACTTAGGGATGTACAGACAATCAGACAGCTGAGCCAGCTAAACATTCTCAAACTTATTATTCTGCTTAAATACTGGGATAGATAACAGAATGAACCATCCCAGCATGCTAGTTTTAACTCTGGATTCATTTTAGTATAAAGATAAGCTGTGGAGAGAAGGAGAAAATATTTTTGACATTTACATGTTGCTTGAATCCTGAATGCCAGCCTTGTACAGACTGTTCTATTTTAGCAATAAAATTGGAGTAGCTGGAAGAACAAATGCCCCCTGCTTTACAAGCAGCTTGTTTCAGACATCACCAATAGGGACCTCCGAAGGTATTTCGGTAGTTTTGAGTCTACATGCTTTCCAATCAAAAGGCTCAGATACATGTTGCCAATTACTGAAATCTGCCATAGCTTTTGAACAGAACACAAAGTACTTCCAACTCAAGCACAGAGATATGATTCCTGTTTTGGTGAACAATGAAGAAGGAAAGGGAAAAAAATAAAGCATTAAATTATGAAGTCTGGAATTAGCAGACCTATTTGACTTTCATCTGGGAAAGAGACATTATGTCATGAATGCTAGAGACAGGCCCTATCTTTTTGTTGGACAAAAATCCTTAAATACCTTTCAACCTTTCAGTCTCAACTAGATTGGCCTATTTGAAAGAACGAAAAAAATTCTGAAAGCAACTAATGCTGTAATAAATTAGCCTCAGCAGCATATCCACATATGCAGAGACTGATCATCCTAAGGAAGCAAAGCAAACGCTGCAGGCTTTAGCCCTCTTGTATAAATCCCCTTGCAATTCATTTTGACTTTCCTCCTCTTTCCTTGTTGAGTCCTGGGAGATGTTATGAGTAAGTAAAAGCTGGTGTCCTCCTAATCACCCTTCAACTCTTCCCATCTGATCAGTTTTAATGGTGCTGAAGTGCAGTGCTAGTCATAACTGTTCTCCACAGAAGCTACCCAATTGACTGCTCCTCTGAATAGTTTTCCTAAAGAAGAGGAAGGTATATGGAGTCTGCTAAGAAGGATTTTTTACATGCATAAATGTATATAATACATATACATTGTGGTTTCTCTTTATGCAGAGCAGTCATCAAGTCTGTAAAAACTTTAAGGGATAATATCTCAGGTGAGAGGCATGACTGGCTCAGGAACTACATCTGCTTGCCCGTTTACTTTCTCACTTAGGGTTGAGGTCACCTGCCCTCCTTTTAACTAATCAGAGGAGACAGTAGTAATCGAAGCACAGTATCAGTGCTCCGAGGATGTCTTTCCTGCATAGCCTCTCTCTGTGTTCATCTGCAAATCTTGCAAAGTAATGTAGGTATATATAACCAGAAGAAAAGAACAGGGGAGAAGGTTTGGTCTGAGATCCAGCTAAAGGAAAAAGTATATTGCTGAATCTCATACATTACCTGGAAAAAGAGGTGTAATATTTTTTGAGGAATTTCCCATGTGTGACAAGAAAAAAACACTAGTTCATTAAATGGTAGCCCTTCACAGGAAAATTCAACAGATGTCCTAGCACAGATGTAAAGTGCAAAAAGTAGGTGAAAGTGCTTATTTTTCGAAAAAGTAAATCAGCTTGCTGACTGCTCATTGTCCTTAAGGGACTATCCATAAGAGAACATGCCAGTCTGTGCAGAGTTATTCATTTCGCTCTCTGAAACTTCCTCTACTAGATACCTTTGTTAGGCTCTGATAAACAGTATTAAATAGTTGTCAGGTCCTGCCTTAGAGATCAGTGCACTTTAGCATTGACTGAAACTATTCCTGTGGAGTTGACTCTTAAAAAGAGCTTTATACTGCGGATGAGAGGTTTGTATCTGAAGGAAAGACCAGTGAAAGCAAGCCAGAGTTCAGGAATAGAAAGCACATCTGACTTGTTTTCCTCTTTTCTAGTTGTACAGCGGGCTGGTAGTTTGCCTTACCTTGCAGACTCTTGCACATCTTGAAAGGATTTAAAGAATACCAGTATCAGCCTGTTCTCTCAAAACTGATTTCTCTTTGCAATGCTACTGTTGTGATGAATCATGCATTAGTGTGATTAGCAGAGAGAGGTACAATTGCTTTTTTGCAGCAGTGGCTGGCAAAGGATTGCCTGGAAGCCCAGATGTGACAGAGATGGGAAAAGCACCTTGTGGGATATGAAGAGAATGGAGAAACGGAAAACAGGAGGAAGAAGACTAGTAACTGAACACTACTGGGAACTGGTACCTGAATGAGATGGACCTTCCCTCTGAGCAAGTGTGGCTATTCTCATGCATAAGAAGCTGTTTATCAGCAACTATTTGTACCAGATGGTACTCCTCAAGCACAAATTAAAAAAATAATTACAGAGACACTGACAGATACTGAAGAAGAAAAATAAGCTATCCTGGAGAAGGTTTGATAATTTTATCAGGCAATAGGAAAGTGCTTGTCAAAATTGAAAAGAAGAGGAATGGGGAGACAGACTAGAAAAACAGATAATTAAGAGTAGGAGAGCTCAGGCCAATTGCATGGCCGTTCCCACATGGTCTCCTTTCTTGGGAGGGACAGCAAGCTGCTTCTTCCTAACGCTGGTTGTTCTTAACCTGCTTGAAGAATGAGATGCTGAGATGATACCAGGCTCCTAAGAGCCTTTGAAATTCAAGTTCTCAGTGGAAAGGGTAGAAAACTTTTAAATGACACAAAAGTGAAAAAAAGTATTTTCTATTTCTATAGTGTAAACAACAGTAATCTTTTGATGTCTTCAATATCTTTTCCTTGTTCCCCAATAATCTCATTTCTCTCATTGGCAAGTACGAATGCTTCCAACGCTCCTGAATTTCTATCAGTCTTTGCGGCCTAAAACTGTAGAGTGTAATCTCTTATAGGTGGCAGGGCAGCTTATGTGAAAGGTCCAAAGCAAAGGTTTACTGCTTGAAGCATCCAAATCAAAGGAGCACCTCCAGTCATTGGGGTAATCATAGAATCATAGAATCATAGAATGGTTTGGATTAGAAGGGACCTTAAAGGTCATTTAGATCATTTCAACCCCCATGCCATGGGCAGGGACACCTTCCACTAGACCAGGTTGCTCGGAGTCCTGTCCAACCTGGCCTCATCCCAGGGATGAGGCATCTACAACTTCTCTGGGCAACCTGTTTCAGAGTATCACCACCCCCACAGTAGAGAATTTCTTCCTAATATCCAATCTAAACCTGCCCTCTTGCAGTTTGAAGCCATTCCCCCTTGTCCTAAACATGTGGCCAAGCCTCACCCAACACTGAAGTCACTTAAATCATGTTGACCTGAGTGTGAATCTCAGACTAACAGCATGGACTGAGTAGCTGACGTGTTGGTCCCACTTCCGTCCCGTTTGACGGGAAACCCTGACAGAGAATCATAGAAGCATTAGGTTGGGAAAGACTCCGGAGGTCATCGAGCCCAACCACTGACGCAGCTCGCTCTGTCTTTATCCAAACGACCCTAGAACGAGACCTCGCCTCTCGCCCAGTCCGGCCCCAGGATGTTTCGGTGCAGGGCACGATCGAGAAGGCGACGCGGCGGCTCCGTGCGGGGCTCGGCGGACCCTCTCGGCCGCTCGGTGCCTGCTGCCGGGACAGCGGAGGGAGGGACGGCAAGGGGAGACGACAGGAGAGAGTAAAAGAGGGAGGGAGAGGCGCTCCTCTGCCGCCCTCTGCTGCGGGGCCTCGCTCCGCTCCCTCCGAGCGCCTGGGAAAGCGGCGGTGCAGGGACAGCTCCGTGCATCCAGGCGACGGGAGCGCCGCTGAGAACGCTTGGTACGAGGAAATGGCCGCCCCTGTCTCTGATGGATGGGACAGGGGTACCTACAGGGAAAAAGGCTGACCCAAGAGGTGGAGACACATTAGAGACACGCCTTGGGGGATCAAAACTTGACCCCCGCGCTTCCAGAGCAAACTTAAATTTAGCAGGTGCTGTCCATTTTTTTCGTAAAGGTGATTAACGTCTCGGTTAAGAGTGCGTAAGTTAGCAGAAACTACGTATTTAACAAGTTTTGTGATAACACCTAAATAACTTTAATTGAAACTTAAGCTGCACCTACAAACGCCGCATTACTCTGCGAGGCCTCGGAGACAAGGGCACAGAGGTGGCGGAGCCCCCACCCGCGGGGACAGCAAAGGCACAGCAAGCCAGGCTGACACCCGGCACGGCTTTTCCCGCATCCCGAGCACAGCCGGCGCCGTGGGATGGCGGCCGCACACGGGCTGCACACGAGGGGCTGACGAGTCAGGGCACAGTCCTTGTTTTCATTCACTTTCCCCGGGCAAAGAGCTGTTGGGAGGGCTTTTATTCCGAGTGAACAGTCAGTAGAGCACCACGGGTATCCGCCGTGTAGCTGCCCCTCACGGCCTCCCCAAGCGCGGCTGTACTGAGGTCGGCACCACTCTGGTGCCCAGGGAGGCCGGGTTCTCCCTCTCTCCCACCGCTCCTGTCCTCCCCTTTATTCTCCCTCTCACTCCTTCGCTCCCTTTCTATTTCCCTCTCCCCCGCTCCGCGCTCGCACAGACGCTAACCCCGCCCCTCTCAGCGGAAGCTCCCATAGGCCGCCGCCGCTGCCAATCACCGAGGGGCGGGGTTCAGCGCCTTCCTCCCCAACTGCTGCTGAATCCACCGCCGAGTAACGGATCGCGGCGACGATCGATTCTCTCGGCTTGCCTTTCCACACCACCCCCCCCCTTCCCGGTCACACGCACCATCCCAATCCCGATCCCGCTGCCAGGGGATGTAGGAGGACGCGCGGCCGCAGGTACCCGGGCAGCGCCGCCGCCACGTCCCCCGGCACGCCGCCTACCGCCTGCTAGGGCGGGCGCAGCCGCCGCGGCCGCGTGGCTTCAGGCGCTCCTCGGGGACACCGGGACGGGGCACCGCCGCTCCCTGTGCGCCCCAGCCCGGCCCCGCCTCGCTCTCCGTGCCTTTACTGTGTGCCTTCCCGCGCCCCGGGGCCATGGAGCACGCGTTCACGCCGCTGGAATGCCTCCTGCCCGCCGGTACGGTACCTCCCGCCCCCGCCAGCACCGGGGGGCGAGCGAGGGGCGGGGCGGCCCCGGTGGCGGGCGGTGCTACCGGGGCTGGGCGGGATGGGGGCTGCGCTGTGCCTCCCACCTATCCTGTGCCTCCCTCCCGCCGCTGCCTCCTCCTTGGGCTGTGCTTCTCACCCGGGCTGTGCCTCCTGCTCCGGCTCTGCCTCCCGTCCTGCCTCTGCCCCCCGCCCCGGCTCCCGCCGGGTGCCGCCTCTGCCGCCCCCGCCGCCCCCTCGGTGTGTGCTCGGTGTGCAAGCACCGTGGTGTCTCTGCCCTGCCCTGCCCTGCCCTGCTTAGGCTGCTTTCTTTTCAATACAGCAATTTGTTACCGTGTTGGAATCAAAGATTTGTGTTTAAAGCCCCCAACCCCCGCTGGAGTTAAAAATTTGTGTTTAAAGCCCCCCAGCCCCTCCGAGTTCAGTCGTTCCCTCCCGCTTGCTCGCCGCCGTTTCTCTCGGCTCGGCGGGGCAGAGCGCGTCGGTGAATCCTGTCTTATCTTCTGTTTGTCTGCTGGCCAGGCTTTCTCCACGTGCCCTTGGCTCCCTGGCCCTGCCTGCGTGCTCTGTCCTGGAGACACCTGTGCGCCCCGCTTGCCTCTTCCGCACAGCAACGCTTTGGGGGTTTTCTTTGGTTTTCCCAAGCTGTCCTCCAGTGCTCTACTTTTGGTACTATTTTTGAAACCTGAGAGGTGATCCTTATTAATATATATAATTAACATCCTTACCTGTCTAAAGCATGAAACAAGCACTGACTATCTAAGTGGCTCGTATGCTGTTTGGAATAGGCACCTCTTCTTCACTATGTGTTTGCAGTGTCTAATTCAGTAGGGTCCAATTTGTTATTCAATGATACCATTATAAATAGTAAATATTTTTATCTTTCTATAACATGATTTTAAAGCTGCTTAAAAATCATTTGGGCATAGCAGCTGAATTCTAACTTACACTGCTCTTTTCTGCTCTGTTCTGGCACACAGACCAGCTGCCACAGTGAGGTGTATGTTGTTATTTACTAGTAAGATCTGTAGGAAAGGCAGAGTTTAACAGGATGTACACTTTTAACAATTCAATACATTTTTATAGCTGGCAGGTTAAGAGCATGTTTAAACTCATCCCAGTATTTTTTTTAAATCATATTTTTCTCTGATTCTTAAAAACTTCTTCAGGATATGTTCAAAGCTAGTAATAGAGCTGTACTCAATGTATTCCTGCCAGAAATGTATATTTGACATTGTGTGCATGTGTATTTTGAGATGCACTGTTGCTTTGGATGGAAAGAGGGAATGAATATGGAGGTGAGATTTTAGTGGGTTAATTTTGATTCATTGCAATGTGATGTCCTCTTGTGTGAAATGAGGAATAAGTGCTTGCTAAGTATGTAATAAGGCAAGACAAAAAGGTTCCTTAAGAATGTAAGGCTACAAAGTTGATAAGAGAACTGGATAACCTCACTTATGAAGACAGGCTGATAAAGTTGGGGCTGTTCAGCCTGGAGAAGAGAAGGTTGTATGGAGACCTCATAACAATTTTCCAGTATCTGAATGGGGCCTACAGGGAAGTTGAAGAGTGACTCTTTGTTAGGAACTGTAGTGATAGGACAGGCAGTAATGGGTACAGATTGAAAGAGGGGAAATTTTGGTTGGATTTCAGGAATAAATTCTTTACTATGAGGGTGGTGACACATTGCAACAGATTGCCCACGGAGGTTATGGATGCCCCACCCCTGGCAGTGTTCAAAGCCAGGTTGGATAAGGCCTTGAGCAACATGGTCTAGTGGGAGGTGCCCCTGCCCATGGCAGGGGGACTGGGACTAGATAATCTTTAAGGTCCATTCCAACCCCTTAACATCATTCTATGAATTTATCCCTGTGGAATTACAGGCATTGTTGTTTACATTCTAAGATAGTTGCTATTGATAGATGTTGTATAATGTTAGGGCCACCGTATGTTCTTAGTTTCCAGGAGTTGCCTGTCTGGTTGTTTTTGTGTGTGTGTTTTTTGTTTTGGTTTGGCTTTTTGTTTGTGTTTGTTTTTTTCTCTTTGGTTATGTCTGGTTGTATTTGAAGATCTGGATGTTTGTTCACAGTTTTCTGGTGACCCACAGCCCTCTCACACCAGAGGCTTCAGCTGGAGGTAAAGAAGCCCACTTCTTCCAAAGAAATGTCTGATACATGTGTACAAATCAGTTGGTTATACAGGATGTTGTGCCTATGAAATACACAGTGATGTTGTATCTGGATCCTTGTCATCATTACAAACATTCATTACGAAAATAACCAATTGGCTTAGCCTGCTCAAAGTATTCAAGGCTGAGCAGATTTATTTGGCAATTCCACAGTTTAAACTGTGGTATCCCCCTAGCCGAATTCAGAAATAAGATTTTCAAAACTGGGTAGGTAAAATGAGCCTCCTGATTTCTTCTGGAGGAAGTACCTACCAGTAGTTCCTCCATCTGTTTGCTTCAGTGGGATACATATTTAAAGGCCCAAATAATGTAAAGCTAATCAATGTAGAACATGGCACTGCTTAGAGACTAGATGTGAGCTTACAAAATAAACCCTTGTGAGGCCATTGGAGCACTATCGACCTTGCCCCTTTCCTAAAAATACTATAAATAATATGATGTATGGCAATGTATATAATGTTTCTGCTTGCTTTCTAAAAGCCCTGTGTAAACATAGTGGTACGTTATGGTGGGGAGCTTGTGAAAGATTTGTCAGCTATTTTTGGAGGTTATTAACTTTGTTTCTCTTCTTTGAAGGTGTTCAGAAATTATATTTATACTGAATAGAATAAAACATAGGTTTTGAAACACAACATTAGGTACCTGCATTGGAATTTCAGGGCCATGTGTGCTTTGGTAATTTTAGGCAGTGTAGTTAGAGCACGTTCTTAGATTGTACGTCTCCCTATATAGCACCTGATTGAAGTCCAGGTAGTGGATATTTGAGAACTGCTGTGCTAACTAGTATGCTCAGGGATTTCAAACATTATTCAGTCAAACAGCTGGAGCACTGTTGAAAATCACCATGCTACAGTCAGAACGCTGTACTGTGAGCTTTAGAGCTGTGTTGATTTGCTTAATGTAGTTCAGAATGTGTAATGAGGTAGAATTTAAAGTGGGATTGAGCTCTAAATTTGTGTCTTGCGTGCTGAAATAAGTATATTTTCTTTTCCTCATGAAATGAAACCGTTAAAAGGTTCACAGAAGTCCACCATAGAGTCCTGTATGCTGTGGTGAAAGGGTCAGGCAGACACTTCACAGGGTGAAGCTGTTGTAGAAGGCTCATCATGATGTCGCACTACGGCCCTTGAATTCATGACAAGAATAGCTTTGTTTGTTCTGGAGCATCCTTTGATAGGCTCGACATTTCCTTCCCGCTGTTTATCCCCTTTTCTTGCACTGTCATTGCCTCCTGCTGCTTGTCCCAGACTGTGCTGCAGGCACTTCTGCAGAGAGACAAGTGTTTTTAATTTATTATTTTAATACCATGAACTTCAGGAGCTGAGTGTGCTGTGCTTGTGACTGCTTAACAGTGGAAGTACTGCAGCATCCTCTAATAAGGTTGCCCCTGAATACCACTTGAGATTTTGAGAAGAGCAGAGTGCCAGTTTGCTAAGCTGTATTTTCTCACAGGGAATGTTTTACATTGCCTTTCATAATATGGCCTGGATTTTCACTCATCTCCAGATGTGATTAATGATTGGCCTTGCACGGTCCTTAAAGTGTGGCTCATTATTGGTTTTATCAAGTGGAGTGATACAGAAGGAGGTATCTGCCTCAGTTTATAATCCAACAGCTTCTGATATGAGTGTCCAGCCTTGTTGAGGTGCAGGGGCGGCAAAGAAGCAGCAAATCTGGTCCTTCTGCTCTTTTCTGTTCCTTGCTGTCAGTGAGGGTTTGTTCCCCTGTTCCCACTTCTCCATGCTCCGAGTCAGATGCGCTCGTGAACTATGCTGCATTGACAGCTAGTGGTTAAGGCTTGGTTTGCTTGGTTTGCTGAGAAGTGGGGGTGCTATCTTCATCTCACTGAAGCAAAGTCATCTATATGCCATGAGAGACAGAGCAACAACAAATAGGACAAAGACTACTTCAGAATTATGGGGAAAATATATAGTTGTCTCTTTGTTCAAAGGGACTATAAAATTCTGCATTGAATTTAAAGCAAAGAGAACAAGAGGAAGCAACAATAAGCTGTGGATGCTCTTCCATCATTCTGCAAGCTTGATTGTGCCTTGCTTTACTGTATGTCTTCTCTTGGAAATGTTACTGACTGGAAACGGTTTACCTCTGAAAGGATTGTATCACCACATTCCTTTTAAATGCCTGGGGCTTGAACTTCTTCCTTTATGTTCCCTTTTATCTGACACTAAGGATTGAAAGTTATTCTGTGAAACAGTGGCATGTTTACCATTCAGTGAATGACCTCCAGCCTGGTACAAGTGCCAATGACTGTTTAAATGCCCCTTCACTAGAGCTCTATGTGGTCTCTATGATGCATTATCTTGCAATCTAATAAACAAAATTCTGTGGTAGAAATCGAGACAGTCATGGGGTTAGGAAATCAGTCTGATGGTCTCTGTTAGCTCTTGAATATCAAAGGCATATGGAAAGGGTGTGGGGTCCCAAACTATTGGATAGTGCTGTAATTTTATGGGGTTTGTGACACTGCTGTTGATCAAACTAGTGAAGTTTTCAGGTGAATCAGATTATTGAAAAGCTATTATCGAGTTCACCAAAGCCGAAAAATATTAGCAGAGGTGGAGTTCCTTGATGAAATTAGGAAGCACTTCCATATGGCTGTTATACTCTTCTGTCTTTTTTAATTGAAACACATTTAAAATGCCTTTTTTTTTTATGTGGATGTTGCTGACCTGCTCCTGCTCTTTGTTTCGTGTAAGAAGCAACCTTGTTCATTTGGTCTAAGTCACCTGGGATGCTTTAGTTTGTTTTTGAAGTAGCTGTTA